TGCCTATAAGCTTACCCTGAAGATCCTTTGGATTTGTCGTGAACTTTGGACTTACCCTGGAGATCATTTGAACTTGCCCTGAGTTCTGAGGGTCATTGCCTGAAGACCCTTTGGATTGGTTACATGAGTCCTAGCAAATTGAACAGTGACTAATCCTTTTATAACTTGCCCTTGAAGTTCTACAGATTACTCTGGCCTTACCCCTTACCCTAAAGGTCCTCTAAATATACCCTGAAGAATTTTCTAATTGGCCCTGGAAATCCTGTAGATTTACAATAGAGATTTTCTGGATTCTGGAAGTTTTCTGGAGACTCTCTGCATGTACCTCAAACATGGCTTGCCTTGATAATACCCTAGAGTTCCCACCGAATTGCTCTGAACTGGAATTGAACCTTTCCTGAACTGGTTCTGTAAGTCGTCCTGGAAATATTCTGAGGCTCTCTGGATTGACCGATAAGATTCTCTGAGCTTACCTCCTAAATCTTCCGTAATTGAGCTGAAGCTTGCCTTGACTATAAGCTTACCCAGAAGATCCTTTGGACTTGTCATGAACATCGGACTTATCCTGGAATGTTGCTGGGCTTCCCTAGGAGACCCTTTGAACTTGCTCTGAGTCTTGAGAGTCCTCTAAATATACCCTTAAGAATTTTGTAATTGGCCCTGGAAATTCTGTAGATTTACAATAGAGATTTTCTGGATTCTGGAAGTTTTCTGGAGGTTCTCTGCATGTACGTCAAACATGATCTGGCTTGCCTTGGTAATACCCTTGAGTTCCCACAGAATTGCTCTGAACTGGAATTGAACTTTTCCTGAATTAGTTCTGACAGTCGTCCTGGATTGACCGATAAGGTTCTCTGGGTTCACCTCCTAAATCTTCCGTAATTGAGCTGAGGCTTGCCTTGACTATAAGCTTGCCCTGAAGATCGTTTGGACTTGTCATGAACATCGGACTTCCTCTGGAATCTTGTTAGGCTTCCCTGGGAGACACTTTGAACTTCCTCTGTGTCTTGAGGGTAATTGCCTGAACACTACTATATTTGGATTGGTTACATGAGTCCTAGTAAATTGAGCAGTGACTAATCCTTTTATAACTTGCCCTTGAAGTTCTACAGATTACTCTGGCCTTACCCTAAATGTCCTCTAAATATACCTGAAGAATTTCGTAATTGGCCCTGGAAATCCTGGAGATTTACAATAGAGATTTTCTGGATTCTGGAAGTTTTCCGGAGACTCTCTGCATGTACCTCAAACATGATCTGGCTTGCCTTGATAATACCCTAGAGTTCCCACAGAATGGCTCTGAACTGGAATTGAACTTTTCCTGAACTGGTTCTGAAAGTCGTCCTGGAAATATTCTGAGACTCTCTGGATTGACCGATAAGGATCTTTGGGTTTACCTCCTAAATCTTCCGTAATTGAGCTGAAGCTTGCCTTGACTATAAGCTTACCCAGAAGATCCTTTGGAGTTGTCATGAACATGTGACTTATCCTGGAATCTTGCTGGGCTTCCCTAGGAGACCCTTTGAACTTGCTCTGAGTCTTGAGAGTCCTCTAAATATACCCTTAATAATTTTGTAATTGGCCCTGGAAATCCTGTAGATTTACAATAGAGATTTTCTGGATTCTGGAAGTTTTCTGGAGGTTCTCTGCATGAACGTCAAACATGATCTGGCTTACCTTGGTAATACTCTAGAGTTCCCACAGAATTGCTCTGAACTGGAATTGAACTTTTCCTGGAACTCTCTGGATTGACCGATAAGGTTCTTTGGGTTTACCTCCTAAATCTTCCGTAATTGAGCTGAGGCTTGTCTTGACTATAAGCTTACCCTGAAGATCCTTTGGACTTGTCATGAACATCGGACTTCCCCTGGAATCTTGCTAGGGTTCCCTAGGAGACACTTTGAACTTCCTGTGTGTCTTGAGGGTCATTGCCTGAACACTACTATATTTGGATTGGTTACATGAGTCCTAGTAAATTGAACAGTGGCTGATCCTTTTATAACTTGCCCTTGAAGTTCTACAGATTACCCTGGCCTTACCTTATCTTCTAATATACCCTGAAGAATTGTGTAATTGGCCCTGGAAATCCTGTTGATTTACAATAGAGATTTTCTGGATTCTGGAAGTTTTCTGGAGACTCTCTGCATGTACCTCAAACGTGATCTGGCTTGCCTTGATAATACCTTAGAGTTCCCACAGAATTGCTCTGAACTGGAATTGAACTTTTCCTAAATTGGTTCTGAAAGTCGTCCTGGAAATATTCTGATACTCTCTGGATTGGCCGATAAGATTCTTTGGGTTTACCTCCTAAATCTTCCGTAATTGAGCTGAGGCTTGTCTTGACTATAAGCTTACCCTGAAGATCCTTTGGACTTGTCATGAACATCGGACTTCCCCTAGAATCTTGCTAGAGTTCCCTAGGAGACACTTTGAACTTGCTCTGAGTCTTGAGGAGGGTCATTGCCTGAAGACCCTTTGGATTGCTTACAGGAGTCCTAGCAAATTAGACAGTGACTAATCCTTTTATAACTTGCCCTTGAAGTTCTACAGATTACTCTGGCCTTACCCTAAAGGTCCTCTAAATATACCCTGAAGAATTTCGTGATTGGCCCTGGCAATCCTGTAAATCCGGTAACCAATTGGAAATTGGTTTTTGATGCTCCTATAGATTCCAGTGGCGTCGCGGAACCTCACTTTTGACATTTTGATAATTTATAACCAATTTGTATCGATCTCTGATGAACGCACGCCTGTTACACAACAACTGCGGTGCTTCAAGGATTTCTGTGAAGTACAATCTGACCCCTTTCATGCGTCAACATGTACAGATTTATCGCCGATTGCGCTACTCTACTGACCAAAGATTCCGAAGATTGATCGATATCCAAGCCCGTGGCATTGACACTTCGTTCCTTAATCTTGGCGTCTCGATCGACTATCCCACCCGGTTTCTAGGTCAGTTCCGATCGTTCCAATCAACCGAGAACCGTGCTCCACCTCAAATTCCATCGCCAAGCGGCAGCGGCACGTGATCTCCGAGTCCTTCCGATCGTGTGAGTCAAGTTCTACCGACCGTCACCCTTCATCAGAGTCCCCGCTCGCATGTGTGTCGAACCGTTCTATACTAACTGTCACCCCATCGACCAATTCTCGATCCATTAATCAGCCTGCATTACGGCGGGGACCAGTTCTCTGAGTTCTTCTACCTCCGCCGCCCCATTGGAAAACGATATTGCTTTTTTTTTCGTCATAATAGCGGTCTTGCCGATCGACACCGACCACGACCACGACGACGACGACAACGAAGCCCGAGATGAAAAATGTATGCCAAGACCAAGGTTGAGGAGATCTCATTCCGCCAAGAGCCAGACCCCCGCGCTGCGCAGCACACGATCATGCATATAGACGTACGATCGCGAGCGCCGGAGTCAGCGTCGGAGTCTCGAAACAAAGATCAAGGGTACATTTGTACGTTCACAGTCATTCGTGTGCTGCTGCTGCGATCGCGTTCGATCCGTTGAATACCTTATTCGTTGTGTGTGGAGGTGATCAAGTCGTGTACCGCTTGCTTGCTGCTCTCACTCACTGCCAGGCTCTAGATTCGGTGACGGTTAGCGAGATTTTCGTTGCCTGCGAAGGATGTTTCCGCTACTGGTTTCAGGCCACCATGAGATGAAGTGAAATTCTACTTATTTTTTTCGAAAGCCCCCGGTGACCTCCGATCGCTCGATTGATCAATGATCACCATGTGTGAGAGAAAATTAGAAAATTATAGAGGAAATCGACACGATCGGACACGGCTTTGGGAGGTTGCCTAGAAGCAAGGACTTTTAACTATTTGAAAGCCTTTCCTTGTGGCGATCGATTGATCGCGCGGTGGCGATCGCTTCTGGTTTTCCAAAGAAACTCTTTCACTTCAAACACCTTTCCGAACTATCAACCCAAGGCCCGAAGGTTGAATGGAGACAAAATTCAATTATAGCCGTCATAAAGGGAGAGGCTCTTTAAACCGAGAATTCTGGCCCTTTACTCCTTTCCTAGTTGATCGTTTTAGTGTTTTACGACCCGGGGTTCTCTTCTTCCTAGCGCTGGGCTGTGGGGCTGGCAATGATGATGAATTAATAGCCCTTAAAAGAACAATCGAGCCGGAGGAGGAGGCTGGACAGGGAGGCGAAGGGAACGAGAAAGCCCTTTTACCCGCCTACCGGTGCTGCAGTGGTCTCTCTTTCGCTTTTGTGCAGGGTCCGAATAGACCCTGATGGAAACAGTAAAAAAGCGGAGGTAAACCTAAGACTTGCTTCTTTCTGCTTCGGTGAGCATTCGACTGCTTGTCTACGGTTGAATGCGGGAAAATGAAGAACCAGAAGGGAATCTTCACCTTCTTCCTCTTGAGCGAGGCGAGCATTTCTGGTTCTCCTCGAAGAGTGGTGGATGGGTTTGCCCTTGTAGGGAGAAAAAAATAAAAAAAATAAATGCAAGACAGGTTCTTCCGAGAGTGCGATGCAATTGATGCGAATGCAGGCGCGATTGTGTGCTAATCCGATAGGGAGCTGGAACCGTGTGGGATGGGAACAACCTTACGAGAAAATAGAATATTTTCTGAAGAAAAAAAAAGAATCATTCGGTGAAATGGCTCATTTTTCGAACAGGGGTTTCTACTCACATTTTATGATAAACCAACGTGTTTTGATTGGGTATTATTCGATGATAATCTAAAACATGGAATTCAAAGCGGAGATTTGGAAAATTTCGCTGTGAAAGTTAGTTTTTGAAATCGTTTGCATTCGAGGAAACTGAGGGTGGTCATTTCGTCGACTAAGTAATGTCCACAATTCAATCCATCCACAATGAGACTACTCATCGTACGTTGAAAAACCACAAGCTCTTTCTATTTCCTTTATTGTCTAACCATTGGTGCTAAAATTTGTTTGAAATTTCCTAACATGCAACAACAACACACTATCGCTCAACTATGAAAACACTCCAAACGATCCGCCTTACTATTTACGGCAGGAATTTAAAAATATATTCCAGCTCCAGCTGTATGTCCTCCTCCAGATCGGTGCAGTAGATCGCATTCAGGATTTTGTTCTGCCCAAATTGTGCCCTCAATGTCTGCGGTCTCGTTAGCCGGGCCGTTTCCTAAAAAAAAACGGAATTATTATAGTATCAGACGATTGCTCTAGCAGTACAAAGCAGCCAGAGTTCCATGCCAAATGACGAACCGAATCGGATGCGACCTTCTCCGATTACCATGAAACTTTGCATAATTGTTTGCTTTGGTCACATTTCAGGTGAAATTAGGTCATTTGGAATCTATATTTAAATTTTTTGACGTAGGACTGCGTCTGTGATTTCTATATGGGGGTACACTTTGTGAAAACCGAAAATGGAACATGTAACAAAATTATGAAAGATTTTGAACGTTAATAACTCAGCTGCCCCTGGACCAATTTCCTTAATTTTATCACCAATCGATCAGAAATATGTCTACGCATTTGTTAAATTTAAGACTTTATCATTTTTCAAAATGTCACTATTGAAAATCGCACGAATGTGCAACTGTTGCTATGATAATTAAAATTATCACCGATTGCCTGCGAAAAGCGATTTCTCTAACACAGATTTCAAAGTTGAATTCCATCCGGTCTCATCAAACGGTGTTTATTGGTGGTGGTGTTCTCCAGTACACAACGAAAAGCTGCCTGCAAGCAGCGAGCTGCAGCCCATAAGAGCAAGTTCAATTCTATAAAATCCAAGCAAAAATTTCAAACGAAATCCAACCTGACTTCAAAAAAATCTACCATCATCTAAGAGGAGTGTTCCCTCGGTTGTCGACAGAAGCAGATGTGTGTCACGCGAGCGTCTGCTTACTCGGCAGCAACCATTGATTGTGTGGTCCTCCTTATTGTTCTTCATCAGCAGTTCTTTCAGTCGATGCGACGTCGACTTTGGAAAGCAACCGTTTCGTGATGAGTGTGTGAGTGATGACCACGTTTTGCGTCTATTGCATTGTCAATTGAAGCGCTCTGCCCCTCGTTGGCGATACTGCCATACAATGAAACCACCTGAAGCGGATCCCGTTCTGATGGAGGAGGCTTATTGGACAGCGGAAGATAAAGTGTTTATTGTGTTGTACCTTTTCACTATAGTTTTACGATGTTTTGTATAGTGAATAAGAATCCTCGGATCTGTAAAGTAAATTCGATTGAACCTTATCAAATAAACTAATAAACAAACAAACAAAATCATCTATGAACACACGAAGGTCCATTCTTTAAAGTCTCAGCCTAATTTTCAAAGGATGTGAATCGCACAAGAACGAGGAGGGGTCTAGAGGGAACGGAAGCTACGTTAAAAATAGTCAAATCACTTCAGGAAAGATCTGATTAATATTAAATATATTTCAATCTCTCAACAGAAAAGTTTGGACTCCCTAAGAAAGGTATTGAACCACTTCAGAAAAGGTTGGACTCCGTTTGGAAAATTTAAGCTCGGTTCACTTCGGGTAACTTTCTACAATTTTAGGAAAGCTAGATGACCTAAGCAAGATTGTGTCCTTGCCAAATGCCAAAGCAGGTAACACAAATTTGGGGTTCACTTAGGAAAATGTCGAACCCATTCGCTATCACCTTAGTTTGGGTCCTCCCATCTCATTGCTCAATTCCGGGTAATGAGAAAGCGGACTCGCTAGCTAAGGTGGGCGCTATGGTAGAAGGCGATATTTTTGATCGACAAATCGCTTTTGCGGAATTTTTCTCCATTGTGTTGCTAGATCTGAGTTATCCGCATCCCTCAGGGCCCGAGCAAAACAACCTTTGTGACTATTTAAATTTAATGTATGTGTTTTTAAAATGGATCGATCTGGGGATTTAGTAGTTAGTGTCATCTTGTGTTCTCCCAAGTTGTTAGCTCCCCATCGGTGTACCCCCATGGTTGTCTTTTTCATCAGTATGTCGCTTAGTTCGAGATCAAGAGCACATTGCTCTCCAAACCCTGTGGTCTCAATCCCTTCCCTGACATCCAATTGTTACAATTGTTACCCCTAACCTCGAGATAGCCGCGAGTAATCGGCCCCCGCTTTACTGACGTTAGTTTTAAGTATGTTTGTAATCTAAACACAGAATATCGGCTCCGCAAAGCTGCAACAAATGAGCCTGGAAAAATAAATGCATTACATATATTAAAAAAAAATGCAGGAAAGCTTGGATTCATTTAGGAAAGTGATTAAATCAGCTAAGGTCACTCCAGAAAATGCGAAACCAATTCTTTAAAGCTGGAGATCGGAATATGTTGGATCACTTCAGGAGACCTTTGACAGCTTTAAAAAGGATTGAATAACATAACAGCAAAGTTTCGACTCAGTTTTCTAAATATTGATGACTTATCCGAAAATTTGAACTCACTTCAAAAAAGTTCAGACTCAGCTTTGAATCTGCTTTGAAAAGTTTCACCTCAATTAGGAATTTCCTGAATTTTTTTCTGATTTGGTCTCACTTCTAAAAAATTTAAACCCCTTTTGAAAAGATTGGATTTAGCTCGGTAATTGTTGAATCGCTCAATTTGGTGATTGGTGGTCACTTTACAAACATATTCTGTGTCTACTTTTTTCTCAGTGTGCCGGCAGTGCCGAGAGGGCCAGTCATCAGACTGACTTTGATTGCTTGTGAATAATGGCAATCTTGGCAACCCGGTTATTCTGACAGTTCAAATGTTGCACGGCGAATGAGAACGACTCAAATTTGAGTTTAGTTCACTCATAATCGCTCGCCAAAAGTGCAGGAACTCAGCGATGAGTTAATTTGCCTCATGTTTTCCCAGGTTTTTCCAGGATTTTCCAGGGAAAAATTCCCGAATTTGAGAAAAGTAAAGATTGGATTCACTCAGTCTATTGGTACTACTCCGAGACTGAATTAAATTTTCGTCAATTTCCTCATTTTTCCGGCAGATTTTTTAGGTTTTCCACAGGAAACCATGAGACAAATTTTACTCATCGCTGAGTTCCTGCACTTTTGGCGATTATGAGTGAACTAAACTCAAATTTGAGTCGTTCTCATTCGCCGTGTGTGTTTTGAAGGCGAAGAAACAACAACAGAGGCAGCTGTACAAACTGATACTGGACAAACTGGGCCGATCGGCGATCGAGTCCCTCAGACCGCTGTTTGACAAAGACCTCGGCAAAAGGTTCGATATTCCTGATTATATTTTAAATGCACAACGTTGGATACCAAACATTTACATTAAAAATTTAAAATTCAAAATTTAGAATTTAATCATTTCATATCTAAAATTTAGATTCAACATTTAACAGTCTACATTTAACATTTAGCATTATTTAAAGTTTGTGATCGATTTTACTTTGAGATTTTTTCTAGTGTACAGTAATTTGACAGCTGCGGTACTGAATCTTCTTCCTATTCTTATTCTCCTTTACTCCGCCAAATGGGACGTTTTGTGTGGATCAAGCCAGTGCTGTTAATTTTCATATCATTCGATTGAAGCTGAATCAATACAATATTCAATCAATTCTGTGAAAACGAATTCTCACATGACCATAATTTGAAGAGCCCCTTTCTCATTCGAAGCCCATCGTCACTGTCAATTGAGTCACTAACTATCGTTTGATATACGGACAGTGGAGTATGGAAGAAACCCAGCGAAATGGTCCCAAACAGACAAGTCGATCCGATGTCGGATCAATGTAAGGGAAATTTTAGGTCTATGTCGACACAATGTCGTGTTGTTGTCGAGTCAATTTTGAGTTTATGTCGGGTCAACGTCGGGTTGACGTTTGGTAGAAGGTTGCACTCAATTGAATGATATCAAGCGTTTCTCATATGAGAATGATCCATGCCTTCGTCAAATGACTAAGCAACTGATATCGCCCATTCGAGGAGGTCCCCTTTGATAGCGGATAGCTGCTTTTCTCATTTTCATCAAAAATTTTCAATTGATTTTGAGAATTTACAGCAAATTCTCAGACGTCATTTCGATAGGAAGTGCCATTTCTCGCGTCACTTGTCAAATAGACCAATGTAATAACATATCCGCCATTTTGAGAAAATCAAAGTTGAAATTCGACAGACTATTATTTGAACTGTTTAGAAACAATACATTTTGCAATACTATTTTCACTGTGGTCAGTGAATAATAACGTGGGAAATGTTGAAATGTTACATCGGACGTTTTGTTCTACATGATACTAGATTCCCTTTCACAGATTTCAGAATGAGGTACCTAACCTTAGATTGGTTTTCCATTAGAAAGTGAGCACCAATCATGTTAGACAGTCCAAATGTCCGAACTGACAATCACGTACCCATCATTTCAAACTATACATTGGACAATTTTTGACCTATAATTATCTTCTATATAGGGGAAATGACTCTAATGTTGGCCTAAATGCCCCTAATTTGGGCCCATACTTAAATTCAGCAATCGACTTAATGTTCAATAGCGACCGAAAATATCCATTAGTACCGTCCCAATGACGCGTTCATCTAGATAAAATTGATAAATAGCAGATTTTTAGCGATGGGTCCAATCTTAGATCTATAGGCCAACATTAGAGCCATTTACCCTATATAAAAACGAATTTCTGTCTGTCTGTCTGACCCTTATAGACTCGGAATCTACTGAACCGATCGGCGTGAAAATTTGTATGAAGGGATTTTTGGGGCAGGGAAACGTTCTTATGATGGATCGAGACCCCTCCCCCCTCTTTAAAGGGGGCGGGGGGGCTCCCATACAAATGAAACAGAAAAATATAGCATGCTTTTTTGAATTGGCGCATAAACTCAAGCTAATTTTGAATCCCGAGCAAGGCCGGGTGCACTCAGCTAGTCTCAAACTTGAATGGGTGTTTTTGTATCACATACAATGATAGAAGGGCAATAGTTTGTATCGTATAACTCGATTTGTTTACCAAGTTTACGCTAGGTTTGTTTTGCGAGATTCGAAATGGCTGAATTTGAGCCCAAATGCAAATCGGAAAACGTCGAGTCTATCATTCAATGTTTCTGGGAATACACAAACACCTTACCGGACAAGAAGGGCCACAAAAATCGCGGAAGCTTCTCTGGGTGTCGGGACCGTTTTCGAATTTGGTAGTTATCTCCAGGGCCAGGCAATCTCCGCTGATCATTTGCATCACCATGGACTGGAAAGGAAAATTCGGTCAAACTTTGGTCGGCCACTTGTCCATTTGCTGCACACCCATCACCTCATATTCCGGAACAACTCCCTTGTAGACGTTTAGGAACTCTTCGCAGTTTGCCCGTTCAAAGCGGAACATTTTCATGGCCGAAATGATGAAGCCCTTCTTGAGAATCTGCGATAAAACTTCCCCCGTTTGTCCGTTCCGCACCGCGTGTGGCTTGATGATGCACAGCGTGCTATTTTGGAGGAGAACCGACGATCTCAGGCAAAGTCTAACGTCGTTGTGGCTGAAGACAAACTGGGACTCCAGATGCGATGCACTGGCACTGCTGGGGCAGTAAATGCCACTTCCGTACAGAGCCCTCAGCGAGGTGTGGGCGTGACTGCCCGGTTCCTTGCTGGTATTCGGTCCACAGAGCTGCTTAAATCGCGTGTACGAATTACTGCCCGTCAGTTCCATGGCCACGAACGACTGAGACGGAATGCTGTCCACGAAGTGAACCAGCTCGGACCGTTCGGAACGGAAATTTTTCAGCACCCACGAATAGCTGTCGTCAATTTTCAACATCTTCAACTGGCGAATGGTGAGGTCATTTTTACTGATGGCCTGCAAAATTTCCCCAATGTGCGGAAATGATTCCGAGAAGACCATTGCAAAGGTGCTGAAAATGAAAAAAAGAGTTAAGAATACGAATTTGAAAATGACAAACCACCCAGTTACCGTTGTTCGGTTCCATATTTGAGCTTCGTATTGTGGTCACCGTAGTCGATTATTTCGATTTGCTTGCCGAAGATCAGAATTTTCGCTCCTATGAAGAAGTCTTTTTCCGTTAGATCTTCAATTTTCGTTTTCTGGAGAAATACTTTCCTGGTTTTCCTGTCGTGCATTTCTATCGCCTTTTCGTGGGGGTAAAAAATGATAAACAGTTGCTGAACTGTTTCCGTCTCTTTCCTGAACCATTCACCGATGAAGGCAAGGCCGCTCGTTGTTGCCTGAAATAGATTTTTGAGTTGAGAGATGATGCATCCGAATTTGATGAGTTGCGAACCATTTTCTGAACTTCGAATATGTGGGGACAACGGTTGTGATCAGGAGTGAACTGATGGACTGTGTGGAAAACATTAGTTCAATTCAAAAACGCACATGTTTGACATGGCTGCCATAGAAACATGATTGCACCGACGCTAGAGCGATTGTTCAAAACGTCCTGTGTGAGTCAACGGTTCTTCTGTTTTCGATTTCCCCTCTTTGGCATTAAAGGTAAACTAAATGCACGTTGTTCCTCCAGCACAGAACAGAGTGTTTTATTTTGTCGATAGCAACAAGAAAATTTCGGTAGCTCGTTTCAAACCCCTTATTCGAATGAGAAGTCAATTATTTGGTGCAACCGGTGTAAATATTTACCTTATTTGACAGAATTCAAAACTCTTTCCCCCAAACATTTTCCGAGCATTTGATTGATTGATTACGATATCTCGAATTTATCTTTCAGAATTCAGCTTATCGACTCCCTGAAGTCGATAACCTGAATTCTGAATAGATGATATGTTCAAATATTTTCAGATAATTTGTAGAGCTTTGGGGGGTTTCAAATAAATCTGCAGAACTTTATGGAAATCCAAGAATCTACAAAGAAATTTACAGAACGTTAGAGAGGTTTGGAAATCTACTGATAAATTAATTGAACTTCAGGGCAGTTTGTAGAAATACAGTACTTCAGAAAACTTTTCAGAATTTTAAAGAAATTTTAGGAACTTCGGAAAAGTTCAGAGAGTAGATCGTAAATCTGCAGATGTTTAAATAAATTTTCAGAATTTTATTGCGGTTCTTGGTTGTTAAGAGAAATTTACAGAGCTTCATGGATGTTCGCTGATCTTTAGAGATATTTGTACAACTTCAGAAAAAAATAGTAGATCTTCAGAGAACTTCCTAAATTCTCCGGGAAGCTCAATAATTTCTGGGTAAACTTTTAATACTTTAGGGAATTGTGTAGATGTTCGAAGATATTTGCAGATATTCATTGAATCATGAAAATCTACACAGAGAATTACAAAGCTTTCGAGAAGTGCACATATTATAAGAAATTTAGTGAACATCAGAGATAATTGTTGATCTTTAAGGATCCTAAATCTGCAGGGATTCAGGAACTTTGTAGATTTTTAGAGAAATTTGCAGAACTTCTGAAGATCACACAGAACTACCGAGAAATTTGCAGATCTTCAGGAAAGTTTGTTGATCTCTGAAGATGAATTGCAGAATTGAGTTCTTAACAGAAATTTTCATAACTCAAGGAATCATTTAGATCTATAGAGTACTTTACACACTACCTTGTCGAAAGTCGGTATCGACATCCTGGCGAAGTTTTGAAATCCTTTTTCATCTTCATATCGCAGTTCTTTAAGGACAAGGTGACTCAGATCCCTGCCGGTGTTCCTCCGGAGCAACCATATCCTACTCCACAAAGTTCACCTTCTCGTTATAATTTTATTTAAAATAGTAAAAGCAAATACGCTTGTCGAAGCTAGAGCAATTTTCCGGTAATTCATAATCATTAACTTTTGATTCCTGAAATTAACAGTCCTTTCGACATGTGCAAGCAGTGTGAACACCAGATTTTTCATTATTGAGCCAGTCAAAATCAGACTAAGAAATCAGATAGTCTAAACGGACCTTTACTGGTTGATTTTTCAGACTATCGCTCTATCTCACGGTTACATTTCGATAATTTCGAGCCCCATAATCTTGAACAGCTTTCTTAGACCTTGATTTTTTCGTTTTAGTCCCTTTAGCAAATTTTAGAATAATCGTGACTCGTTACCATTAGCGTGAGAGGCTTGGATGCTAACCACCATGCGGAGCCCGTTCCCCATTTTTTAATTTGTTCCCAGTCAAAACATCAGATTCTTTAAAACAACCTTAATCTTCAATTTCTGGGATCCCGAAAAATTTCCAATGCCTTCATTTATTATATTATTTCTTGGAAATTTGTTTGAGGATTTTTTTTTTTGAAAATTGCTCATGAGAACTCTCCACAATGATCCTCTGATTCTCTCCGGTATTGAGCATGATTGAACGCCCGTGGATGCAACTCTGTGATTGCCAAGCTGCTATAATTACACAGAGAACCAATATACGTTGCTTGGGACTAGCAATCATCCTCCATGTGTAAATACTGGTGATCTAAGACTAGGCATTACCAGCGCCGGCCACGTCCGAATGCTGGTCAAGAAAGGAATGGTGAATCGCTTTAACACCGTAACACCTGGATAAAAGGGTTGGGATTGCAGCAGGATTCGTTTTGTAACGATTTCACCGTACGAAGGAGCATTGGATTGAACCCACGGTCTTCTGTCCAGTAAGCAAAATCGGTCGCTACTAAGCCACCGAGCTCCGTATTTTCCAAAACAATTACGATCAAGTTTCCGTTCAACTTGTTGTTATCCCGGCGACGACCTCACCGACGACGGCAACAACTGCTCTTGAGAAGGATTTGATTTGGAATTCCAAAAACTCAAATAGGGGAAATGGATGTAATGTCGGCCTAAATGCCCCTAATTTGGGCCCATACATAAATTCAGCAATCGTCTAAATTTTCAATAGCGACCAACAATATTCATTAGTACCCTCCCAATGACGCGTTCACTTAGATAAAATTGATAAATAGCAGATTTTTAGCTCAATCTTGGGATCCATAGGCCAACATTAGAGCCATTTCCCCTATTACTTTTTTTACGTATCCGGCCCTTCAACCGAATTTCTTTACGCTTTATATCATATTATGAAAGAAAGCCAATTTAGAGTATAACTCCATAATCATTGGCCACTTTTTCCGGGGCTTCCGGAATCTGTCCCAGGGGTCATTCTCACTCTACACAATTGGCATGGTCTCTAATGACCTGCCTATAAAATTCTGAAATTTTTGATATGCCGCATGACCTGCTTTCGTTGAAATCTGAGATTGGCCACTGCCCTCGGGACTTCCGGAATCTGTCCAATTAAACAGAGCGGCAATGGCCCCTCCATTGTCACTCTGTTTAATTGGCATGGTCTCTAATGACATATGCCCACAAATTTCTGAAATTTTTGATATGCCGCATGACTAGCTTTAGTAGAAATCAGAGATTGACCACTGCTCCCGGGACTTCCGGAACCTGTTCCAGAGATAATAGGTGGCCAAATTGACACTTTTCTCAATTGGCATGGTCTATAATGACCTGCCCATAGAATTCTGAAATTTTTGATATGCCGCATGACTAGCTTTAGTTGAAATCAGACATTGACCCCTGCCCCCGGGACTTCCGGCACCTGTTTTAGAGACACTGGGTGGCCAAATTGTCACTCTGCTCAATTGGCATGGTCTCTAATGGCATGCCCATAAAATTCTGAAAATTTTGATATGCCGCATGACCAACTTTTGTTGAAATCTGAGATTGGCCACTTCTTCCGGGGCTTCCGGAATCTGTCCCAGGGACCATTGTCACTCTGTTCAATTGGCATGGTCTCTAATGACCTGCCCATAAAATTCTGAAATTTTTGATATGCCGCATGACCTGCTTTAGTAGAAATCAGAGATTGACCACTGCTCCCGGGACTTCCGGAACCTGTTGCAGAGACTCTAAGTGGCCAAATTGTCACTCTGCTCAATTGGCATGGTATCTAATGGCATGCCCATAAAATTCTGAAAATTTTGATATGCCGCATGACCTGCTTTTGTTGAAATATGAGATCGGTCACTTTTTCCGGGGCTTCCGGAACCTGTCCCAGGGGCCAGCTAAATTGGCATGGTCTCTAATTACATGCTTATAAATTTCTGAAAATTTTGATATGCCGCATGACCTGCTTTAGTTGAAATCGTAAATTGGCCACTTTCTCCGGGGCTTCCGAAACCTGTCCAGGAGCCATTGTCACTCTGCTTAATTTGCATGGTCTCTTATGACATGCCCATAAAATTCTGAAAATTTTGATACGCCGCATGACCTGCTTTAGTTGAAATCATAAATTGGCCACTTTCTCCGGGGCTTCCGAAACCTGTACCAAGGGCCATTGTCACTCTGTTTAATTGGCATGGTCTCTAATGACATGCTTATCACATTCTGATTTTTTTTGATATGCCGCATGACTAGCTTTAGTTGCAATCGGAGATTGGCCACTTTCTCCGGGGCTTCTGGAACCTGTTCCAGTGTCTCTCTGCTCAATTGGCATGGTCTCCAATGGCATGCCCATAAAATTCTAAAAAAATTGATATGCCGCATGACCTGCTTTTGTTGAAATATGAGATCGGCCACTTTTTCGGGGGCTTCCGGAATCTCTCCCAGGAGCCATTGTCATTCTGCTCAATTGGCATGGTCTCTAATGACCTGCCCATAAAATTCTGAAATTTTTATATGCCGCATGACTAGCTTTAGTTGAAATCGGAGATTGGCCACTTTCTCCGGGACTTCCGGAACCTGTTCCAGAGACACATGATGGCCAAATTGTCACTCTGCGCACTTTGCATGGTCTCTAATAGCATGCTCATAAAAATCTGAAATTTTTGATATTCCGCATGACTAGTTCTAGTAGAAATCGGAGATTGGCCACTGCCCCGGGACTTCCGGAACCTGTCCCAGGAGCCATGGTCACTCTGTTTAATTGGCATGGTCTCTAATAACATATGCCCATCAAATTCTGAAATTTTTTATATGCCGCATGACTAGCTTCAGTAGAAATCAGAGATTGACCACTGCCCCCGGAACTTCCGGAACCTGTTCCAGAGACTCTGGGTGGCCAAATTGTTACTCTGCTCAATTGCCGTGGTATCTAATGACATACCCGTAATATTCTGATAATTTTGATATGCCGCATGACCTGCTTTTGTTGAAATCTGAGATTGGCCACATTCTCCGGGACTTCCGGAACCTATTCCAAAGACAATGGGTTGTCCATTCCGAAATGTATGTACGCCTTGTTTAAGCTCTTATCATAACCATCAATTTACG